AGATTTCAATTTTTTATAAGAATTGAAATTGATGCACATTGAATTATATATATAAAGGGTGTTTGGTTTAGAAATTTACAATTGGTTATCTGTTATTGACTTTAATCAAATGAATTAAATACTTTAAATTATAAATAACAATGATTATCAGTCATGAACTATCAGCTATATCTAAATAATTAATCTAAACAACACTATATATATACATATAAGAAAGAAAAAAAAAAAAAACGAAAAGAGAAGGGAACGCGCTGGGTTTAGGATTTGAAAATGAGCAAGGAAAAAAATAAATAAATAAATAAGCAGCCCATGAAAAGTTCGCTCCAATTCTCCTCTTCAAGCCTTCTGCTCACCATCTATTCCGGGGGAGAAGGTCCGCTTTTGCAAATCCTAAAAAGTGAAGGAATCTTGAACCGCCACCCCTTTTCAAGATCCCTGATTTTCATCTGATCTGGTCACCATCTTCGCCGATCATCTTTCCCTTTCGATCCATCATCGCCGATAACCATCAATAGGGAATATTGTAATGCAGTCCGCGGGTTCTCCCTTCTATAAACTTGTCAAGCCGTTTTATCAATAATGATAAGAGTAGTAATATTATAATTATAATGTTAAGTAAGGTAATAAATGTCACATTTAATAAAATATAACATATCACGTCACATTATAAGTATAATAATATTTTTTTTATAAAAAATATAATTTACACAGGGTAGATTACACTTCAATTTATTGATTTTAGTATGTGAATTTTTTATTAGAAAAATAAAAAAATAAACCGAACAGAAATTTTAAAAAAAAAAAACACTGAAAGTAGTAAATATTAAAAAATTTACACTATAATCTCAAGTCGAAGAAAAAAATAGAAAAAAGACGAAATAGAAACTAGTCGACAAGGCTCAGGCTTGCGCACAAAGAAAAGTCCAACTCAAAAAGTCTAGCCCAATTTCAAAAAAATGGGATTTAGAGTATATTTTTTTTGGGCTATACTTCTCTGGATTTTGAATTGATGCCTATATAATAAATAAATAATAATGGAATTTGCCTCCAAAATGTTCATGTCTTCTCATCTTCCACCTTCTTAGTGGTCACCAACCTATTCCATCACTTCACCGGTGAAATTCTCCAATCAATTGGTGTAAGCTTTGTATTCCTCTTTTATTTTTCTCTAGCCAGTTCCTGTTTGCTTCTCAAGAAAATGGTTCAATTTTCTTGATATAATCTTTTTCTAGTGGCTAATATTTCTCTGTTTGTGCTGGCATTCTCTGTTTAATTTCATTATCTTGAATTCTTGATAGTGGTTTTAGATAAGGCACGGTCACTCGTCACTGTATATTGTAGACTTGTACTCTCTGCAGAACCTATTTACTGTCATATTCTGTATTTCTTCAATCTTTTGCTACATTAGTGCTTTCTCTACACTCTTTGATTCTTCTTTGCTTTTGGTTTAAATAAACAACTTTATTTGTGAATTGGTTTTTTGTATTTTTACCTTTTTCAGTTAGAAAAATTCATCGAGTTAAATTTGTTTAGTTGCAAGTTGCTAATTCTAGAATCTAAACTGATTTGAACGTTTTGATCTTTTTATTAACAGGCTCATCTGTTCTTGTTTCTTTTGACCTCAATTTATTTGTTGAGAAAATTCCAAAGGAAAAGGATGGCATTGCTCAATCAAATAATTTTATTCCAGGCTTTAGTGCAACTCCCACTGAGAAATCCTAGTGTTTGCACCAACTACAAGCACAATCTTGTGATTCCCTCTCTTACCATTTCAACCTTGTCCCCCAACTAAAAAGCTTTGTCTTCACTTCACATATCCAACAACAGGAAACTGAGGTTCATCACTCTGGCTTCTGTTTCTCCTTCCCCAACCTTAACCTCCTAAAATCCCAAAACTCCTGCTCAATCCCTTATCGCTAAGTCAACTCTTACCCTCAGGATGCTTCTAGCATTAACAATCTCTGCCTCAATTTTATTTGCTAAAGTGATGGAAAAGCTCACACTTAGAATCTCCCATCCCATTCCATTGCACTGAACTCCAATTGCCTAAAACCTGTTGGTTCTCAATCTTTACAGGGCAATCTTCTATTTGGCTTGGGGCCGTTAATTATGCATTGATCACTTTCAGATCAGGTAAGTGGGCCCTTGAACACACCAATGACAATGGTGGTAGCTGCTGGGTTATCCAAATGGCTTGATATCTACAATGGGGTGTTGATGATTAGGGTTTTGCCTGGTTGGTTCCCAAATGTTCCTCGGGACAAACAACCATTTCTAGGTAACAAGAGTCTCTGTGATTTGATCTGTATTTGAATCTGTTCAGGAATATCATCCCACCAGTTGGTAATACCTTGGATTTAAGTTCTTTAATAGCCTTCTTAGTGTTGGGAATGGTTGGATCAATCTTGAAGACTAGTAGTGTGGGGATCCAGTGATGGTTCAAAACGTATGAAAAGTAAGACAAGAAGGAATGATAGATGACCTTATATAGGGATCCATGTTGTTTGGGAATCTTCTTTCATTTTTTTGGGATAAGTGGCTATTGATGTAATAAATTATTAATTGGAGTTTTTGAATTGGATTTATTATTTTAAATTGTAAAATAGGTACTATTTGACAAAAGAAGACTCTCAATATTGAAAGACTTTTTTTTATTAAACAGTTAGTATTTTACAATTTAAAACAATTTAAACTGTAAAATATTTTTTCATTTTGAATTTGAATTGGTATGTAATTTTTTCAATCCCATACAAAGGAAAAATGGTTTTCGTTTTCTTCTCTTTCCTCAGGTCACTTGTTGCATTTCCCAAAAAGGATATAATGTTTATTTTTTTAATGTATTCTCACACTCAACTTAGTAATCAAGACTCTTAATTAAGTAAAAATCACTTCTAATGAGTTATGTATTCAAGTTTTATAAATCTCATTTCTCATCTTTCAAATTACCTTGTTCCAAAAAAAAAAAAAATTCAAAACATTCTTATGAAAGTAAGAACCATTAAAGTTTTAAATCAACCGTAGCATATTTTGTGGATCATAGGACAGAACTAAACAAATTAAACCCTAAACTCACCTAAAATCAATCACTATACAGAAAGTACCAACCAAAGAAAATCAATTGATATTAATAAATCGATTAACATTAAAAACTCACATATATCAATTTGAGAGCATCCGTTATATTTGATACGTCTTCGTTATTTTGTATGATAAACGCAAAACCTTACTAAAGAGAGCACCGTATAAGGGTAATTTCAGACATCTGTTTATACTCATCATTTATATATATATATATATACACACATTGGGTGTCCTGTTTTAGGTAAAATTATTAATTTTTTATAATTTAAAATAATTTAGATTTTAATATTTTTTAGATAAATCTTTAAGAGATAAAATAGATAAATATTAATACCGATTATATATAAAATTTTCTGTTGATGGTTGATACTCTGGTTTTGCCTACAATGGTCTCCAGTAAGATATAATAATTTTTTTTTCCTGAGAGAAAAATGAAGTCCAATTTTTAATGGTTCGGGCTAAACTTTTTTGGGCAGCACTTCTTCTCCAAAAGGGTTCGGCCCGAATGAGTGTTGGGTTTCACCTCCGAGTGCCTCTTTCGACTGATATATTCATACATCACCGACTCACTATCCAGTTATCTTCCCGACTCCCCCACACCTCTCGGCCGTCACCGAACGGGCGCCACTCTCCCGCTAGTTCCGTCGCCGTTGGGTGCAGTTCTCCGATCGTAAGTTTCCGGTTTCTCTCTTTAGCTTTTGGTTTTAATCTTTCTCTTGTCCTTGTTGTTTCTCGGGAAAATCGTTATAGCTTGGATATACTTCTGTCTGGTGGCTAATTTGCATCCCTCTGTGTGATGTTCCTTCTTAATTTCGCTATTTGGATAGTGGTTTAGTGAAGCGATATGGCGCCGTGCTTCTACCTATTACAGTTTCTGGATGATAATTTCAGTACCTAAGCTATCTGTGGTTTAACGGATTTTGTTGTCATGTTCTGTGCGCCATAAATTTCCTGCAACATTTTTAGTTTCCTTTACTTGTTCCATGATTTTCTGTTTTGTTATCATTTCTGTTTCGCTGTATCAAAACTGGATGGTAAGCATTGAACATGTAATTAATTAGTTGGTCTTGGTTATGTTGGTTTTGGATTTTTGGTGGTTCAGAATTATGATTAGGTTTGTCAGTAGCAAAATCAGGTGTTCTTATGATGATGAGATTTCTCTTTAAATTCTTAAGTATATTGTAAATGAAGAATCACCTGTAGAATTATGCTAGATCTTTTTAGGCTGAATTTGAGATTGATGCTAGTCTTCAACGTCGAATCTTCTATAATCTCCATAATTAGACTACTTCATAAGCTACCACATTAATTCTCTTTTTTTTCAGGCCAAAAAAGGAAAAATCTCTTTTGGTTTTAATTCATTTTTTCTTCTCTGCCTTTAGCATGTTTGTTATGATTGGTTGAAAGAACTAATCTTTTTTTTTTTTTTTTTCTGGTTGCTCCTCAGCCCTAAAATTTCAGTGTATGATAAAATTTGTGTATTGGGCTTAAGTGCTGCATTTTACTTATGCATATTTTTGAAACTGCATTTTTCCTATATATATGGTTTAGAATTGTAATTGTTGGCTACAATGAATAATGTCACCCATTGTTGTTATACTCCAAGATGTTATTTTTCAATGTGATTCTATGTTATAGCTTGATGCTTGAAGTCAAAGTAGGTTGTTGGTATATGAAATATACTTAATTAATGGTCATTTTTGCTAGTTTTAGGTCTTGGAGTTTAGAAGTTGCATTACGATTTTGTTAAGATTTCAAGATAGGTACACTTTCCAGGGAAACTCTACTCTATTTTCAGAATAAATTTTAAATTGATCTTCATCTTTTTCATGTTAAATTGATTCTCCACCTTCTGAATTTATTTTGTAAAGTTTTGAAGCTATTGATGGCTTTGAAGCAATCATAAATACCAATAACGCGTCTTTAATGTTTTTTCCTCCTTTGTGTGCCCACTTGGTGGCTGGTACCTCATGAACAAAAATCTTTCATTTGCATTTTTATTTTTCTAATTCCTTATAACAGTTTATTCTGCACACATATTTTTAAAATTTTGCATTTACTTTCTATTATGGATGCGTAAATCAAAATATAATGTGGTTATTTCCTCAGTCCTCATAATACCCTGTTTAGCCCCTATAATACCAACATACTTACAGTGAGTTTCATGGGAAGAATAATTAAGAATGGATAACATTTCAATCATGAAAAATATGTAAGTATTACATGTTGCATGATAATGAAAACTAAATTGTGATTATGAAATTTTAATTTAACTGAAGAACAGGTTGTGCCTTTTTGTTTCCTAGTCCCAAAGCTATAGGTTCATTCAGGAGATCCTTTGGCCACTAGAACACTCCTAGAATTGTAGAAATACTTTGTTTAGGAATTGATTTGTTTATTCTCAGAGAATTTCATTATGGGCGGAATTTGTTTTGTTGCAAGTTGGTGATTCCAGAGTTGAGACTGATTTGGACGTTTTAAATCTTTTTATTAACAGGCTTAGCCATTGTTGTTGGGAAACACCTGTCTTTATTCCTAGAGAAATTTCAAGAGGGAAAAAATGGCATTGCTCAGTCAAAGCAGTTTCCTCCAAGCCTCGGTCCATCTTCTTCCAAGAAGTCTTATGTTGCCTCCTCTCCCTATTAAACATCTCTCCACTTGCCAAAAACCTCTGTCTTCTGTCTCCATGCCCAACAGCAAGAAACTCAGGTTCATCACTCTGGCTTCTGTTTCTCCACCAACCTTAACCTCTAAAAATACCCAAACACCAACTCAATCCTTGATCACTGAGTCAACTCAGACCCTCAGGATGCTTTTATCCCTAACCCTCTCTGCCTGCATGCTCTTTGCTAAAGCACTACAAAAACTTGCTCTCAGAATTTCCCACTCAATCTCCCTAAAACCTGATCCCCAAGAACTAGCTGCAATTCAATCTTTACAAGGCAATCTCCTGTGTGCTGCAGGCCCATTATTCTTTGCAGCTATGCGGAGCCAGCGAAGTGGGCACTTGAACACTCCACTGACAGTGGTGGCTGTCGGGTTAGCCAAATGGCTTGATATCTATGGTGGGCTGGTGATGGTCAGGGTTTTGCTTAGTTGGTTCCCAAGCATTCCATGGGAGAGACAGCCACTTTCAGCTATTAGGGATCTCTGTGATCCATTTTTAAATCTGTTTAGGAACATCATTCCACCAATTTTTGGTACCTTGGATGTTAGTCCACTGCTGGCTTTTGCAGTGATGGGAGTTCTTGGGTCAATTCTGAAGAACAGTACGAAGGTGTAGTGATGACGCAACAAATGTGGAGAGAATAAGGGCTACTAAGGTGGTTAGTTTATCATTACCTTTTTGTATTTGATGGGAAGATTTTGTTGGCTAAAGTACACTAGTGGCTTAGCCAATTAGCTTTAGGATTGGCAATATAATGCAATTCATGTAGTTTGATTAAATATTTTCCTGAGCTTCTCGAGGTACTTTGATTTATTTGATGCAGTATAATCTGTCTTGTTTTCCATTCAATGGCATATATATTTATATACTTTTAAGTATTTACCAAAAAAAAAAAAAAAATGAAGTATATGTTATGTCCATGGAAAAACTAAATCAGACCATTGATCACTACATCTCAGAATTATGCTGGAATTCCGTTACATTTCTGTTGCCGGGCGACAATATTCAGATTCACTTGCAAAATTGCACCCTCCCCAGAGAGGCCAGGTTTTGAGTTAAGATTTGAGTTAAGACATGAGAACTTTCCTTTAGTAAACTTATACTTGCTTAAGCTTTCAAGTTTTGTATTAGCATAACAAGAGTGGGGATCAACTTATACATGTGCAAGTTTTACATAAATTACACTTCAAATTTTAAATAATTAATGTAGTACTTTAATTACCATATTTACCTTGAAATTTTGAAATGAGTGACTGAGAATTTGTGTCGAGACATTTACGTGTAAATTAATCCTTACCCACGTAACATACGTAATTTTAAGATCAGACATTAAGTAGCTCATGAGTTATTGAGATCAAATGCTTAAGAGTTCAGGACACGGTACAGTCCATTTATGCATTGATCATGGTAGAATATGGCTCCTTTTACAAAACATGCTCAAGTGTTCAGAACTTAACATAGAACACTATCCATTGGTCAAAATTATAAGTTATGTCTTAGAGACTTCTTTACAAAACATTGATCCGAGATTAGTTTCGAGTAGAATACTTAATTCTGTCTTACCATTTATAGTTCCATAGCCTGTACTTGGTAAATAGATGTCCTTGGCCTTCCACAAGCTTGTGCTGCCTCTGAGTGTTGGTGCTAGGCAGTGATCACACCCATTTGTTCTTTTGATATTTGGTCATCAATTTTGAGGTTTCAACAACTGATGTCCAGCTACTAGGGAACAATATGGTTGTGGAATGTGGAACTTGGTATAACTGAAGTTTCTCAAGATAAATTGCACACTAATCATTGTAGTGACATGTACAGAGCTACAAAGTAGAAAGACTGTTATTGTGAGTGTTTAAAATTGCTAGATATTCCTAATTGCCATGTCAGTCTTTGAGGAGAGTAGGGATTTTTTTTTAGATATAAGAGAAGAATAGGGATGTTGAGAAAATGT